AGGGGGTTGTGATGCCACTCCTGTCACATACAGAGCCGGCCAATCAGGGGGTTGGGGAGCTCCCCCCTATCAGGCACAGAACAGGGCCGATCAGGGGGTTGGGGCGCCTTCCCCTGTCACGAACAGAGCAGGGCGGATAGGGAGGTTGTGGCCCCGCTCCCTGTCACACACAGAGCCGCAGGGCGATCAGGGGGTTTGGGCGCTGCCCCCTGTCACACTGCTCCAGGGGACAGGAGGCCTCGGGGCTCTGCTGATCCCAGTGCTGGGAAGCCTTGCAGCTCTGCTAATCCCGGTGCTGGGAGGCCTCACAGCTCTGCTGATCCCAGTGCTGAGAGGCATATTACCCTTTTACTATATAGGATAGAGGCCTGGTGCACGGGTGGGGGCTGGCTGGTTTGCCCTGAAGTGTGTCCCGGATCAGGGTGGGGGTCCTGCTGGGGGGCCTGACCAGCTTGGATGAGGGGATGATGGCTGTTTGCAGCTGGTCACACCCCCTTCAGGGTGGGAGTCTGGCCAGTCTGGGTGAGGGGCTGAGGGCCATTTTCAGGCTGGCGGGCGACTGAAGCTCCCAACCTCTCCTTTTTTTCTGTTTTTCATTTATTTATTTATTTATTTATTTATTTATTTATTTATTTATTTATTTATTTATTTATTCTGGGCTTTATTTACCTTCTATGTCTGTCACTGGAACTGAGAGCCGGCTTTAGCTCTGAGGCTTGGCTCCAGCTCTGAGACCTCTGCTGCTGAAAGCAGGTATCTTGGTTTGTTTGGCTTCTATAATTGAAACATTGTTGCCATCACTGCTGCTCTAAGCTCTGAGGCCGAAGCTGGATGAAAGCAGGTTTCTGGAGCTTGTTTAGCTTCTATAATTGCAACATTATTTCTTAGACTGCAGCTCAGAAACCAGCAGCGGCAGGCGGGGAACGTTGGCTTCCTCCTTCACTGGAGCAAGCAAGCCTCCTGTTCACTTCAGCTGCCTGGCTGCCATCTTGGTTGGCAGTTAATTTGCATATCGCCCTGATTAGCCAATGGGAAGGGTAGCGCAGTTATGGTTAATTACCATGTTTGCCTATTATTAGATAGGATATGTGATCATCCCAATAAATCCCACACCTGTCCAACACCATGCCTAGTTATTAGAATATTATTGACTATATATCCTATGCTATACTTTGCATCCCCATAACTATTCTGTAACAACCAATTTCTTCTTCTTCTTCTAGTTCTTCTTCTTCTTCTTCTAGTTCTTCTTCTTCTTCTTCTTCTTCTTCTTCTTCTTCTTCTTCTTCTTCTTTTTTTCCTCCTCCTCCTCCTTCTTCTTCTTCTTCTCCTTCTTCTTCTTCTTCTTCTTCTTCTCCTTCTTCTTCTTCTTCTTCTTCTTCTTCTTCTTCTTCTTCTTCTTCTTCTTCTTCTCTTTAATCTTTATTGTTGAGATTATTACAGATGTTTCTCTTCCCCCCCCCACCTCATAGCTCCAATCTACCCAGTTTCCACCCCACCCCAGGCCCTTACCACCCTATTGTTTGTATCCATAGGTAATGCATACATGTATATAAGATCTTTGTCTAATCTCTTATTGCACCCCCCCGTACTCCTTCGCTTTGAGAATCATTAGTCTGTTTCATTTCCATACCCCTGATTCTATTCCATTCACCAGTTTATTCTGTTCATCAGGTTTTTATTCATTGGATTTTTAGATTCACTTGTTGATAGATATGTATTTGTCATCACTTTATTGTTCATAATTTTTTATCTTTACCTTTTTCTTCTTCTTCCTCTTCTTAAAGAATACCCTTCAGCATTTCATATAATACTGGTTTGGTGGTGATGAACTCCTTTAACTTTTTCTTCTCTGTGAAGCTCTTTATCTGACCTTCAATTCTAAATGATAGCTTTTCTGCATAGAGTAATCTTGGTTGTAGGTTCTTGCTATTCATCACTTTGACATGTTTCTTTGTCTCCAAATTTTGGCTGCTTCCCTGTGTTTGTTTCTATGTATTGGGTAGCTGCTAAGTCTCCTTGAGTTGATAGAGACTGTGTAGTAGGTGTCCTATAGGGCCCAGTGGTTCAGCCTCCCCAGTCACCTGAGGTGAACACTCTTGGTGCACCCCTTTGTGAGCTGTGTGCACAGTTTTGTTGTAGTTGAGCCTTGATTGCTGTTGGTGTCACTGGGAGGAATTGACCTCCAGGCCAATTGGCTGTGGAGACCAGCTCCACTGCAGAGGGAGAGCTGCTATACAGGAGACACCCTTACAGAGCAGAACTGCTTCAGTGGGGCTTTGGTGCTCACTGAGTCTGCCCCTTGAGTGTGTCACTTATGGATATGAAGAGTTGAAATCTGGTGTGGTCTCACACTGACCACTGGGTACACTGGCTCTTGGGTTTCCAGGGAGGTGCAAAGTTAGCCACTGCCTGGGGCCACCCAGCAGGAGCTACGGAGAGATCTGCAGATCCCTCCTCTTTGTATCAGGTTTGGAAGTGCCCAGAAGAGGCCCATCTGTGAAGCAAGGCAGGCTGGTGCTGGTGCTGGCCTTGGGCCTTTTATTGATAGGTTTGGTGATCCCTGACCCAGCTGCAACTTGTTTGACAGGTTTTAAACTGAGAAAGGATAGGTCATTCATATGCAAAAGTCACCGTGCACAGCTTGGGTGGGGGTGTAACTTGGGTGGGGCAGGGTCTCAGGGAATCACCAGAGCAGAGCAAACAGAAATGGCTACCAGTCAGCCCAGCACCAGGAAGGTCCCAGCATGGGAACAATGACCTCTGGGAGCACCTCTGTCTGGAAGGAAGCTGCCCCCGAGTTCCTGCCCCAATGCCAGACAGTCCAGTTTCTCCTGTATGTGTCTGGGTCCCCCAGAGCCTTGTCTGGCACTAGAGCTGAGAGCAAGCAGAAGCTTATAAATTCAGTTCATGGTGCTGGCCTTTTAAGAGGAACAGCTGGGTCTCCAGCAGCCTGTGTGTCACTGAGCCCCAATCGGAACTGGTTTTTACAGTCCGTATTTCTTGTTGCCTGTAGGGCCTTCTTTCCCCTGCTCTAGGACCCTGGGCTGGGCATTTGGTGTAGGGCAGGTACCCCTCACTCCTCTTGGCAGCCTCCACAGAGGTGATCTCCCTTGAGATTAAAAAAGCAGCACACCTGGGTGCCAGACCAGCCCGTTCTGTGCCTCTGCACCTCCTACCAGTCTCAGTGTGCTTTCTTCTTTACCTCTCTAGTTGTAGTACTTCCACTCAGCCAGATTTCCCGTGGTTCTGGATGATAGTTGTTCTGTATTTTAGTTGTAATTTTGATGTGGTTGTGGGAGGCAGAAAGTACAGGCGCTTACCTATGCAGCCATCTGGTTCTTCTCTCCAATTTGTACTTCTTAATCCCTTCACCTTTTATAGGCTCCCAATCTCCCTTCTATTTAGCAGCCAACAAAAATTTTGCTTGCTCATTTTGTTTGTAGATTCAATCGTTGATAGATATGTATTGATTGCCATTTTATTGTTCATGTTTTTGATTTCTTCTTCTTCTTCTTCTTCTTCTTCTTCTTCTTCTTCTTCTTCTTCTTCTTCTTCTTCTTCTTCTTCTTCTTCTTCTCCTTCTTCTTCTTCTTCTGTTCAATAAGACCCTTTAGCATTTCATGTACTTTTTGTTTGATGGAGATGAACTCCTTTAGGGTACAGGAATTTGAAGTGATTTCTACAAAAGTTGTTGTGCTCAGAGCCATATCCAACCAAGAGACTTCTAGGCATTTTCTGTTTTGTCAATAGATTTTCTTCTTTTCATTCACCAGACAGGAAACCTGGCTTTCATTTGTGACTTCTCCATTCTCTATTTTACTGTGTATTTATTAAGTTCTATGGAATATTTGCTACAATGGTTCCTTACTTATTTTTTCTTAGTTTCATTGTGTCTGCAAGTTCAGTCCTTTACCTATCACTTTACTATAATCACAGCAAACCCCAATGGCTATGCTCAAGATAGGTGCTATGTTTTAAATTATATAACCACATGTGGATCAGTTTCCCACAAATTCCCTATTTTTATGTCCCTCTCCTTTATAACATAGCCCTTGACTGGGTCTGTGGGAAGCTCCAACTTCACTGCATTATAACTGATAAAAATATTTCTTATGTTAAATGGAAATGAACTATAGCTTAAAACGAGTTCTATTATAAATTTATACAAATAACTAGAGGCCTGGTGCATGAAATTTGCCCCTAACTGCCCCCCGCCCCCCCAGGCCTGGTTGCCCCTTACTGCCCCACCTGCCAGCCTGGTCATGCCCAACTGCCCCCCTCTGTTGGCCTGTTTCCCCCAACTACCCCCCTCTGCTGGCCTGGTCGCCCAACTGCCCCCCTCTGCCGGCCTTGTCACCCCTAATTTCCCCCCGTTACTGGCCTGGTTGGCCCTCACTGCCCCCCCCTGCAGACCTGGTCACTCCCAACTGCCCCCTGCCAGCCTGGTTGCCCCCAACTCCCCCCCTGCCAGCCTGGTTGCCCCACACAGTCTGCTGTTGGGTCGTCCGTCTGGATGTTTTGGTCGTGACAGCCCCTGGCTTTTTATATATTAGGATAACATACATGGGACTCATACTAAGTCCTAGCATGCCCTACTCACAATCAACTATTGCATTGTATGTCTTAAGAGTACCTTTATTACCTCCCTTTTTCTAAAGACATTGTCCAGTTCAAGAACCTACTTTCATTCCTAGAAGTAACTGCTCCATTTGGGCCACTCTTATATTATAGAGCCTCACAAGAGTTTCTTCTCTATCATCCCCAAACTACCAATCTAATACTCTCATTATCATAAGAGTGCTTTATTTTAGCTGAATCAACATAAAAGACAAACAGAAAGAGAAGACAAGGATATTCTTTATAAGGCATAATTTTTATTTTATTTTTATCATGTAGGAGTTAAGTCTAGAGGCAAAGGCATTGGTCCCATTGTTCAGGAAGTGGACTCTTGGAATATAGGACCTTCTGGTAGGCACTCACAGAGTTGGACAGGTGACTCAGTGGTACTTGTAGGCCAGAGCATTAGCCACAGCAGTTGTCAGCTTCTGCCAGGCAGCCTGCATCTGGGGGGTAAACTCCCTGCCGAACTGTGTTGCCAAGACAATCAATATCATATTGCCTAGGAGCTGGGGAGAGATTGGGGATAAAAAGAAATTAGCATATTGTAAACAGAAGACCAAAATATGGACAGTACCCATTTCCTTTCTGATAAGAGTTTGAACATCTTTAAGGGTCATGATCCCACACAAGTGCATCATTATGGGCTTGATGTTGGCTTCAGTTCCCAATTGTGTACTGCTATTGGGTTCAATGCTTCTCTTATTTGTCCTGCCAGTTCATCACCCTAGAACATTGCTATGATATTGCTACGAAATGCTTCTTTCCTTCAGAGTATCTTTCTTTTTTATTAAAGTATGCTTATAGTGCTGCAAGGTGTCTCAATATGAGCAATCTAAGTCCCCAGATATTACATATATGTAAATTATTTGCATACTTACATGACAAAGAATGCTGTGCTATGTATACAACAGCATTTCATCACTGCTAATAGGGGAAGTAGGAAGGAACACAGCCATCCATTGAAAAGATTGCTCTTACTTTGCCCTACTTAGTTCTGGTTCTATCATCAAGAACCATGCAGCGATATAATCATCCATATTTATAGAAAATTTAAATTAACCAAGGCAAGATGCTTTCTACCTGGCTCAATTTGTATTTTCTAAGCCAAAAACATTTAGCTCAGTTTTGGCCACTGCTTTTCACAACAATGCAATGTTTTTTTTTGAAATATCAGACCAGTGGTCTTTCCTAGTCATAGTCATTACTCTATTTGGTCTTACATTTGAAACCACTTAACTACCAAAATCTAGCTCTTTCCTGAAATATTTATTTCTACAATTACCTATATAGGATAAGACTTAAATGCCTATGTTTCCTAACATATGCATGACACAAATAACTAGGACAAAAGAACAAAATACAAGCATGCTCAGAACTCACCTTGAAGTTCTCAGGATCCACATGCAGTCTGTCACAGTGCAGCTCACTCAGCTGAGAATAGGTGCTCTTGAGGTCATCCATATGCTTAACAGCATTTCCGAAGGAGGTCAGCACCTTCTTGCCATGGGCCCTGACCTTGGGGTTGCCCATTATTGCAGTTTCAGAGGATAAGTTGCCAAAAGTGTCAAAGAACCTCTGAGTCCAGGGGTAGACAACTAGAAGCCTATGGGATGAACACAGTCATAGACGAGATGGGAAGTCAGAATATTTAAGAGACCTGATCAATTTCTCTTTCAGAAACACTTTCTGCCTCTTTTATCTTTCCAGTACTTACCTTCCCAGGACCTCACCTCCAGCCACCTCTACATTCACCTTGGCCCAAAGGCTAGCAACAGCAGCCTTCTCCTCAGCAGTAAAATGCACCATGGTGTCTTGGAGCTTTCTATTGATCACAGATGAGCCAGAAGCAAATCCGTACTGCTGCTTCTCTGTCTGGCCTTTTATTCCTCATTTTTGGCCCCCAGCCCCTTGATTCTTCCAATGAAATGAGACTATTGGTCAAGGGTGCATTGTCATCACCAGGGGTGGTTACAAGGGAAGGTGGACATTTGTGTCACTGATAGTGTTAGGTCACTCTATCAGAGGAATTCTGCTGTTCTTTCTCCTGCTTCTACTATGCAACTCATATCTCAAGCTCCCCACCACCACTATCTCTGGTGACCTCTAGGCTGACCATGAGGCATGACTAAAATTAGGAAGGGTAAGAATTAGAGATCTGTTGGACATTGTGTCAGGTGTTTGCAAGACATTCTGTTGTCCACCTAGGGTATGGAATAAGCCACAGTTCAACTAGGTTACCAATTTTTCTAAAGCTTAGATAAGGTTCATATTTTTATAGTTCTTGTAAACAGAACAGCCCTAATCCAGCATCAGTTTAGAAACAGGACAGGTCAGAACTGGATAATTTAGAGAAGAATTGAACATTTTCCTATTGTTGTTTGGTTCTATTAATAATATATGCACTTGTCTGTGCAAATTTATTTCACTCTGATTCTATGGACAAGTGTATCTGGCCTATACCATGTATCTACTCATTTGTGTCAGAACATACACAATCAAGTGTTGGGGGTTATGGAGGCTCCTGTGTTCAAAGAATAGAGCATTAGAGGACTCCATGGAAGTGGCTATGGATTAAGGGATTTGCCCCTAGCATATGCTGGGATCCACACTCCTTTGTGTGTTTAACTTTTTCTCATATCAATCAGGCAGGGCAATCTTCAATGACAGTATACCACACATTACTGCCGCCATGATTTAAGGTACTTTGTTCTCATGTATGTCAAACAAGCATCTTTGGGTCTTCCAGTGAGAGAGGCAAAGGCTTATTTTGTTGTTTTTCTCTCAGAGTTTATTGCTCACACATTTTGAGTTCTAGGCTTGTTTCTTTTTCTCCAATATTAATCTTACAAACAAACAAAGAAAACCTATACATGTTTTTACAGAGTTATTTTAAAATGTAAAGAGTTCAACCCAATATATTAGCACTGAGGTTTTGTTTTTACAATAGAAATCCTTCCTGTCCACTTGATAGTAATAGACTTTCATCACTTCAGCTTAGAAAAGACTCAGTGTGAAATGTGGAAAAGAATTACTAAGGGCCAAAAGCTATTTTACCATGACAACCTTGATTATCTGTGATCTCTCAGTGCCAAGCTCTATTGATGTGAGTACCTTGGAACAGAGATATAAAGAAAAGAGTTTGAATCAATCCCCAAAAGATTTGCTTCAAGAGAAGAGGCAAATGAAAAGAAAGAAATGAAAACTTTTACCACTGCAAGGAATTTTACTTTTACTTAGTTGTGGGCTTGGGCCAAAGGCCTGGCTCAGGGTATTTGCCCCCTACTGGTGCTAATGCTCACCTCCAACAGTGTATGTGCATTGAAATCCCTCAGACCTAGGGCACCTCCAACTCTGAATGCTGGTAAATAGCCTCCTCCTGTCTTTCCAGAAAACCAGACAGTGATTCTGGCAGTTACCTCTAACTCCTGCTTTTCTTTCACCACTTTAGACAATCACTTACACAGACTTTTTGATTCTTTCTTGCTTATTGCTGTTCCACACTTCCAATATATTCCCATCTCCCTGCTCCATCTGTCATCTAAATGTTTATCACACCAATGCTATATCATCATCACAAACACCTACTATTTTCCAATCACTCACCTTTTATTTAAAAAATCAAAGATTTATTGAGGTTTAATCACGCCATGTGTTGTTTTCAACACTGGAAATCTTGGGAGAACAAAACAGTTGGTCAAGTCCCAGGATACTCACATTCTAGTGGGCAGAGAAGACTGACACTAATAATTAAACGAGTAAATGAATAAAGAATTTCAGATGGTGTTTTATGACAGGCAAAAAAGACATCTGATGGCATGGTAGCAAGTGACTAGAGAAAAATAATATAAGGAAAGATGTCCTAAACTTATATCCAAAGTGAGTCCTTAATGACAAGATTAAGCCAGGTGTAAGTAGTTTAGAGAAACAAGTTCCTGGGAGCAGAAAAAGCAAGTGAAAATCTCTGAGGCTGGAGAGAAAAAAAATGAATGAAAGAAGTAAGAAAAAAAAAACAGAAAAGAAAGAAAAAAAATTTGGAATTTCATTTAGAGAAAGGCATTACAAGGTCGGAGTAAAATACATGGAGGGAAGAGTTGGAGGAAGCAAAGATGGAGAGATGGGCACAGGTTAGAGTGGATATTACACACTAAGGCAGTGGTTCCCAACCTTGGCTGCACATTAGAATCACCTGGGAATCTTTTTAAAATCCTGATTTCTGGGCCTCATCCTCTAGAAATTCTGTTTCTTTGTTACTAATGTTGTGCTCCCCCGCCCCCATAACAAAGAAACAGGATTTCCGGAGAATGAGGCCCAGAAATCAGGATTTTAAAAAGATCCCCAGGTGATTCTAATGTGCAGCCAAGGTTGAGAACCACTGCTCGAAGGCATGAGAAATTGGTAGAGATTTGTAAACCTGATATCAGTATGGTCTCTAATCTACTCAGCAGAGCCAGACTCATCTTTCTAACTTTCCTGTCCACCACTTCGCACTATTGCCTATAACAGGTATTAACATCTAGTTATACAAATACCCCTGAGATCGGTCCTTTCTAACTATTCTGTGCAATTTCTTTCCTTTTCCTTTTGCTCTCACAGTGCTTATCTGTTGCTCTGAGCTGGATTCTGAGCTCCTTCTATTTCATTTCCCCACATAAATCCCCAATCCCCATCTCTATGAACAGTTTATAAGGACCTCTCTTCCTCGTAATGCTACAGCCAATGTACACACTTGGACCCTGTCTCTCTCCTGGTGGCAATGCAATCAGTTTATCGAGGCAGCTCTCACCACGTACACCATGAAGTTTTTAATAAAGCCCAGGAGCAGGTCTTTGGAGTTGACTTTGAAAAGAGTCATCCCTTCCTCTGACCTCCAACCCCTCCCGTTCTAATCTATCCTCATAAGGGCTTGTAACAAACCAGTGGCTTTTAGAAAATGTGTTTCCATAAGCAGAAGGGAATTAGAAATATATCCTGGACCTTTCCATCTGAACACCTCAGTTAATTTTTTTCTTCCAGATCCCCACGTTGGTAATCTGCCTCTATCCAGATCCCTTGCCTACCCTGCAATCTTTACTCGGGCCCATATAATTGTTTGGTTCTGAGGAGTTCTTGCCCCTCCTACCCATTTCTCCCATCAGAACTCTCCTATATCTTTAGAATTCCCAAGTGTATGTTCTTTCTAAATGTATGACCCAAATGTATATTTATTTTATGGCCCTGTTATTTTTTTCTTGTTAAAATAACACACACACACACACACACACACACACACACACACACTTTCACAGCTCAACATATAATCCCTGGGATTCTCACACTTAATAGCTCGTTATTAAAATAGAACTGAAGACAATTACAGAAGAATTCTTAGCAGAACACTCATTATTATTATTATTATAATTATGTAGTAGTCTTCACTACTACTGCTATTACTGTTATCATTTGAAAAATGATGTTGTTTCTTGCTTAGTCCACTTTTCAACTGGTCTTAGATTAAGAACTAACATCAGGAAGCACCTCTTTGCTTTCTCCTGTGTGCATGCCAAACAGCTCTAAAGAGACAGAGGTTCTTTTTTCTTTGGCTAGTAGCCCACACAGTCATACCAGGGACATCACTGCACTTTAAATAAGTTTATCTCTGATTCACTGCAGTTTTTGAAAGGACACACTTACAATGTGACAGAGTCAGAGTTTCTACTAATTTTCCTCCCCTCTGTGAGTGGTGTATAATCTCAGATGCTATCTGAGCAGGGTTCTGAAGCTTTGGAAATCTAACTTATTTGCCCCTGAAACAAAGAACTGCAGATCAAATAAAATGCAAATTATGAAGTTGCATGATGGAGTCTTTAGAGCTTCTTTATATAAAGAATTATGTAATCTGCAAAAAGTAACACTTGTACTTCATTCCCAATTTGGGTGCCTTTTATTTATTTATCTTGCCTGACTGCTCTAGCTAGGATTTCCAGGACTATGTTGAGTAAGAGTGGTGAAAGCAGGTATCTCTGTCTTGTTCCTGATCTCAGAGGAAGAGCTTTCAGTTTTTCACCATTAAGTCTGACATTAGTTAAAAGTTTGTCACATATGATCTTTATTGTGTTGCATTCCTTTCCTTTTATACCCATTTTGGTAAATTTTTAAAATCATAAATGGATGTGGTATCTTAGCAAATGCTTTTTCTGCATCTTTTAAGATCATCTCATTTTTAGCCTTTATTTTGTGTGGTATACTCATGGCCCCAACAAAAACTATTAGAAACAGTAAACAAACACTTCCAATGGAAGAGGAACTGGTTCATTTGATATTTTCCTTCAGAGTCTGTTACTCCTGTATTTAGAGCTCCAGGAAGCTGCTTCGTTTGTTTTTCTCTGAAATAAATCCTTTACAAAATAACCCTTAAAAAATCTACTTCCATGTATATTTACAGAGTGCTCTAAAATTTTAAGTTCAACCCACTACATTAGAGCTGAGTTTCTGCTATTAGAGAAGTAATCCTGTCAGTCTACTTGACATAGTTGTGAGGCTGTTATCTGTTCTTGGGGAAATGGGGAAGACTTCATGTGAAAGACAGATAAGAATTTGAGACAAAACCGAGAGGGTTCTCTTTAAGATCAGAGATCAGTGAAGTGGAGGAAAAAAAGAGGCAATCTTGAGCACAGCGAGGAAATCCACTGATCCCTTGCTAAAGCCTGGTGTCTGAAGCTTTGGAAATCTGGCTTGATTATTTGCCCCTGTGGCCAGACCTGATAATCATATGAAAGAGCAGATTAAAAAGTTACCTGTGAATTTTTAATGCAGGGTACCTCTAGCTTCAAATTAGTTTATCCTCTAACTTATCAGGTAGTGTGAATCTTACTTACTCCTCCTCAAACTAATGAATTTTTAAGAACCCTCTGCAAACAATCTCCCATTTTCCCAGAAACCCAATGAATCAAAAATCATCTGTAACTCTTGCTTTTATCTTATATTTTTGAGGCAATACCTTCCAAAATGTCTTTTTGTGTATAGCTCTCTGATCCTCCCATTTTCTCCATGTCATTGCTTCTGACATTGCATAAGTCCTCACCTTATAAGTTATTTCTTTACAGGAGACATCCATGTTTTTTCAAACATTCATTCTCATGTATTCTCAAGCATTCATTCAATAACTATTTGTTGAATATGTGCACATCATAATTGGTCCAAATACTGGGGACTTAAGACAAATGAGGAAGAGAAAATAACTTTTCTTTAAGATTAATAATTTGTAGATGTCTGAAACCGGTTTGGCTCAGTGGATAGAGCATCAGCCTGCGGACTGAAAGGTCCTGGGTTCGATACCGGTCAAGGGCATGTACCTGGGTTGCGGGCACATCCCCAGTAGGAGATGTGCAGGAGGCAGCTGATCGATGTGTCTCTCCCATCGATGTTTCTAACTCTCTATCTCTCTTCCTTCCTCTTTGTAAAAAATCAATAAAATATATTTAAAAAAAAATTGTAGATGGAAGATATAGGAAATGGATAAATAAGCCATTAACAAAATTATTTCAAACATTATTTGCTCTGAAGAAAATTAATATTGGATTTAATGAGAGAGGGGCATAATACATCATGAATAGTCTCTCTAAGGAGGTAGTATTTGAACTGGGGCCAGACTATTTAAAAAAAAGGAATCTACCATGGGAAAATATTGGGATAGAAAGTCTGAAAGTTGGAATAGTAAATCCAAACCTCTGAGGAAGGCAAACAAACCTGTGATATGCAAAAGATATAAATAATGGGCACATGTGGTTGATATGTACATAGTAAAGGTGAGACTGGCCTGAAGCATTGTGACAGAGAAACCATAAACCAAATAATGTAGAACTTGTCTTCAGTGGTAGGGAGTGAAAAGCCATTATGAAATTTTAATCCTGGTAATGACATATTCTGAAAACCCTCTGCATTCTTTGCTAGTTTAATATTCCAAGAATATTCTGTTCACCACAACATTATTTTGCTCAGGTGTATTTTATTGCCTACCAAAAATGAGTAGTCATCCTTTCATCTATTAAAGAGCTGAGTTATCCAGCCCTGCCTGTATGCAACTGTGTGTGTCCATATGTATTAATTATAAAGCTGTTTTCAATTATGTTAAACTGACAAAACCTAGATCTAAATCCAGGCCCCTAAGGGGTAAAGAATGTATCATCAACCTACCACTCCATCATCAACATCCTTGAGCCCTATTATTCAGGTTCAGAATAATAGATGAGGGGTAAGAAAGATAAGAGGTTGATTGATTGAAAATGTACATAGCTCTCATTAGTTGACTGACTGGGTAAAAAGGTCTAGTGCCATGAATAGCCTCTGTTTACTCTGTTTAGGGGCATAATGAGAGGCCATATAGCTTAGAAAGACCAGTGCTGTTGACAGCCTTTAACTACAATACATCATTGGTCTCTCATCCTTATTGTGGAAACATAAGGTGAGATTAGAAGGTAATTCATACGGCAAGTTCTGATCACTGTGTGGAGGCAAGAGTTAAATTTGCCAAGAAATGACACTCAAACTTATAGAGTGTAAAGGTTCTCAAGCCTTTATATGAGAATTTGACTCAAGGACTGAAAGTCAAGTCTTCTTAAGCAAACTAGCAGTAACTCCTCCAAAAGTGATTCCATTAATGCCACTCCTACCCAAGGATCCACAGGTGAGTGCGTGGCCTCTTCTTGTTAGATTTACAGAGCTGGGAGCTTTCAGTCATCTATCATTACCTCCTTCCTTCCCATCCGCCCCAGTCAACCAGATACCATGCCTCCTCACTCTATCTTTGCTCATTCTTTACTTTTTGCAGACCTCACTGCTCTTCTTGGGTTTAGTCCACTAGAATCCATGTCTAGTCTCTGCAATTTTGAATTTACATTTGTGTGCATTAAGCATCTCCCCTCCCAGTATTATTACTTGAGTCATTTAAAATTCTAAAAAGATTTATTGTTTACTCTTGCGGATAGTAATAGTAAAAAAATAAAAGAAAAAGAAAAGTTATTTATTTATTTATTTATTTATTTATTTATTTATTTATTTATGGCCTCCCATTACTTAGTCTTTCCTAATACTCTACCTATGTGTACTCTCTCCTCTAGTTCCAGATAGACATTTTCATGCAAGTCACTAAACCCTAGCTTGCTGATTTAGACTCTGAGCCTTTGTTATTATCGTATCTCCTACATGAAGTCTTGGCCATTATTTCCCCTTAAAATTTACATAATATCTAAATTCTAACTTATTTTTGTGTATGTTATATTCAACCAGATGATAATGCACAATGCTTTCATGTGTCTTAGCGTTGGCTCCTCAGTAAGAAAGTGGAACCCTTCAAGAAAGTGCAGGCTATTGTTGATTAATAGAGACTTTTTCTGGAATACTCCCAGCCATTCCTCAACCCATTTTTTATCTCCAATTTTATCTCATCAGACATATGACAAGTTAAGTGATTTAAAATTCACGTCAGAGTGAGTTGAAATAGTAACCCAAGCCTAGACCTGGATCCCTACAACATTTTTTTTTCTTTTTTTCTTTTTAATTTTTATTAAATGTATTGGAGTGACATTAGTTGATAAGATTATATATGTTTCAAGTACACAATTCTATAATACATTGTCTGCATATTGCATTGTGTGCCCACCACCCACAGTCTGAACTCTGACATGTACACAAATCTACTTTGTTTTTTTCTTAGGCGCTGCTTACCACCTCCTTCTTTCCCCCATACATAAGATTTTGTCACACTGCACTGTAAGTGCATGCTCACGTAATTATCCATTTCCCCACCCCAGAAAACTTTTACCCATCTTGCCATCCTCCCAGACATTCTAGAATCCTCCCACAATGCACACTTCTCAAAAGAGCTGTTTCTTCTTATGTCTCTCCCCACCCCTTAGCCAATGAACCTTTGCTCCTCTAACACAAGAGTAAAAGATGGAAAAGATACAATATAAATTCTGATTATGGAATAGAATGCTTTATTAAACAGAAGTTGTGCTGTCAAGACAAACTCCAGTTCCCATTTGCAGAAGGAAGGTAATGGGGACACAAATGGGCACTGGTGAACTGGAAAGAGGACTCAGTGGTACTTGTGGGCCATGGCATTGGCAACACCAGCCACCAGCTTCTGCCAAGCAGCCTGCACATCAGGGGTGAATTCCTTGCCAAAATGAGAAGCCAGAATAATCACCATCACATTGCCCAGGAGCTGTTAGGTAAAAGACAAAATGACAAAGAAGCATGTTGAGTAGAAGTTTCCAACACAAGTTGTAGAAAAAAGAATGGCTTAATAGCAAAACTCCCTGCCAACACTGAACATTAAACTCCTTATGCATGGGCTTTCAGAGTGAGTTTAGTTAAAGTTTCCAACCATTGCCAGAACAAGCCTCCACTTGGTCACAATACCAACAAGTAACGGAACATATTTAGATGACTTGTATTTTTGAGACATTCTGTCTAAAAATCTTTCTCCAAAATCTCTTCCTAAATTTCAATCATCAGAGACCACATAAAATAATGCATTTCTTCTTCCCTGATAGGACTTTACCTACCAAAAGCTAAATTCCTTTCCTCCTTAAACAAGTTTGCTGTTCTCTGATATTATTCCCTAAGATAAACACAGTTCTGACAAGAGTTTCTGAAAAGTTTTAAGCAAACTCAGGCTACTCATCACTCTTTAGTGTCACTAGTTCTGAATCAAGGTGGCCTTGGTTATGCCCACTGGAGGCCTGCCCTCCTAACTCCATGACCCATAATTTATGAGATCTTCGTTAGTTTTCCCAAACAAAGACTCAATTTCCATTATTATCCCAAAAGTTAAATAAGAAAAAAAAGCACATGAACATTCTCTGAACTCACCCTGAAATTCTCAGGATCCACATGCAGCTTGTCGCAATGCAGCTCACTCAGCTTAGCAAAAGCACTCTTGAGGTTGTCCATGTTCTTAATAGCATCTCCAAAGGATGTCAACACCTTCTTGCCATGAGCTTTGACCTTGGGGTTGCCCATTATGGCAGAAGAAGAGGACAGGTTGCCAAAGTTGTCAAAGAATCTCTGGGTCCAGGGGTAGACGACCAGGAGCCTATAGGATGGAACCATAGCATATGGGCAATCAAAGACTCAAAAATCTTAAGCAATTTTCCTGATCAATTTTCAAGGCTCATATTCACCATCCTCACCCATGCACTCAATCCCAGTTCCTACCTGCCCAGCACTTCGCCTCCAGCCTCTTCCACATTTACTTTGCTCCACACATTAGTGACAGCAGTCTTCTCCTCACCGGTAAAATGCACCATGATGCCGGTCTGAGAGCTTATGGAGATCACAGAGGTGTCAAAAGCACGTGTGTCTGCTGCTGGAAGGGGTAGCCTTTTATTCTTTACTGCTCACCCCCTGGCCCTTTGTTTTCCCTAGTACTTGGAACTGATTGGTTAAGGCTGAGCTGTTCCTTGGGGGTGGAGTCAGGCCAGAAAAGGGTCAGCAATGAAGAGCGCACTCTGGTTTATAACCTGGTTCCTGGGATATCTTCTTTTGTCGGCTTCCTTTTCATTCTCAGCACAATTTTTTATCCATTTCCCCTTTTGTCTCCTCATGTCATTTTCCAGGATGACATTTATTTCTCCCATTCTCCTTCACCAGTAAGATGCAGAGAGAGGAGCTAAATCCAAGATAGGGAGAAAGTTCCAGCCAAAACACCTTAATATTTGTGTTAAGGATAGTGACAAAGACAAAAACAGGGCCTCAAAAAATAAAAAAAATACAGTTATGACTGGGTAGCTCAGTTCATTGGAGCATCGTCCCAGACATCAAAAAGTTGTGGGTTTGATTCTAGGTCAGGGTACATGCTATGGAGCTATAGCAGATGGGAAATCAAAGACTCAAAAATCTTAAACAACTTTCCTGATCAAATGTCAAAGTTCATATTCACCATCCTCGCCCATGCATTGAATCCCAGTTCCTACCTGCCCAGCTTGACCTTCAGCTTCTTCCACATTTACTTTGCTCCACACATTAGTGATAGCAGCCTTCTCACAAAAGAAGGAAAGCTCAGGAATCAAACCCACAACAAAACGTGAGTTTGATTCCAGGTCATGTTTTGAGTTTGTTCCCCCATTGGGCACTTGTAGGAAGCAACCAATCAGTGTTTCTCTCTCTCTCTCTCTCTCTCTCTCTCTCTCTCTCTCTCTCTCTAATCAATAAAAACATATTCTCAGGTAAGGATTAAAAAATATAACTGACATAGAATCTCAGCCAGTTCTATCTTCCTTAAGAAGTAATTTCAAACTCTCTGCATGTTAGTTTTCCAAGTGAGACAAAACACATATATGGTTACTTCAGGAAGCTGAAGAGAGTAGTAAGGGATCCGCAATAGGACTATGCCCTTAATCCCAAAGTACAATACCTGAGGGTGATTTCACCGAGAAGAATGACAGAATACACTTACATCCCTTGCTTCCCAGGAACTCTCTCTCTGTCTATTTCTCTATGACTATAGAAGAAACTGGCTACTTTGGGAATATTGCTCTGAGCTCTCTTCTTGATTTTCTGTCCTACTTATACTTTGTTTTACAACTTATTTTAAACCAGCATTTGTGATCAAACTAAGGAATAGATTAATCGATGTTAATCAGACTAGGAGTTGGAGAACGGTTTAATGTTTGTTGTAGCCATAGATGTCAGAGACTTTAAATTTTTTTAGTGTCCTTGTTGTTGTTTTTATTTGTTTTGATGCTCTTGTTGTCTTGGGCTTCCCTAAGAATTCATCTTGAAACATTGTCTGGACCTGTCACCTTTTTGTTATGCTCAAATCTAGTTGATATGGTGGTGAGGAAAGGTAGAGAAGCATCCTATGTGTATAATTAAATCTCAGTCTTTTGTGGATCAATTTTCCTGGGCTGTCACCTTCACATGCGTTATTTAGTTTTTTCTCCCTTAATAAATTTAGGAAAGACTGCCTGGATTAGGCTACATAACCTAGCATAAACAGGATTCTTGGATGAGGAAGAAGATATTTGATCACTGAAGTAGAAGAACAATGAATAAACAAGAAACAGTTGGCTACTCGGTAAAGAATAACCTTTGGTTTAATACAAGGTGTTGTTTTTTGTTGTTGTTGTTTGTTTTTAATCCATAGAGATAGAACTCTAGGTTTCCAAAGAAATTTTTCTATAGATCCACAGTGTGAGGAAAATGACTTTTCTCTAGACCTTGGGCATGAGGGTCAGACATTGTCAAAGCCCAAGGAACAAGAACCAAGGCTCTCAAAATCAAGAGCTTGGGAAACAAATCTCTCTCTGAAACAGATCCTATGAGTATATCCCATTCTCCTTCCAATTCAGGGTGTGAGCACCAGTCTCCTCTTGGCTTCATAGTATGGTGTTGATCCTCATCCTCCACCTTCACACCCATTACAAAGCCCATAACTCCTCTACTAGAGGCTTTAGGGACCAGAGCTGGCTGGCTTCCAGGGATCTGTCTCATCCTTTGCTCTCTTATCACTAAAGGTTGTGGGAAAAGACTTTAAAGAAAGGTTATAAGGTCGAATGGCAGCATATTTGTAGCTCAGTAAGGGGCTTATGAACTCTGATTCTGAAGTCAGCTGAGTGTAGTTTCATTAGGGGTTTGTTGATTCAACCTAAATTATCTCAGATGCGCATTTTGAAGTATTTAATGGATTTCTCCTATGGAATATAATGATTATTTTCTTCCTTTCTTGAATGAAATACCCAAAGTGTAGAGAGATAAGTGACATAGTTATCCAGGATAGATCAGAAAGATTAAATGGCCAGAAAAGAAGAGTAATTTATTACTTATAAAATGGAAAATTAATAAAATAGTAGAATTATATCTCAAGGTACTTAAACAAAAAGACTTTTAGAAAGAAATTCTGATGGGAGCTATCTGTAATACTATCAATAATAAAAAATATATTTAAAAAAAGCAAAAAGCAATGACCTACTAATACTAAATAATGCTAAGCCAAATAAATGAAATAATAAATATGTAAGAATTACTAATTAAATTGACAAAGAGGAATATGGAATATACAAAAGCATATACATATAAATTTATTATAAAATGTTTTTTACAGGTATAAAAATAGATCAATAGAATTCAGGACTTGAAAACAGTAACTGCAGCTTGACTTGAAATTTGCACTCTTTCTATCATTAATAAAGTTATGGCTTCTTGTGGATGAAAAAATAAACTCTGAAATTTGTTAAGGATTAATTCCTGTCTCCAGGGTATCCAGTAGTAGCATTTATACGTTTATAAGTGCTGTGCAGGATTTTAATAAATGGAAGATGCCTGTTTTTAATAGGAATAAATCAAATATTTTCTTAAATCTTGCTAGCTAATATATGGCATGTGTACTAATCCTAGGTGTCAAATATTGTATTATCTCTAGGTGCTCTTAATGTGGAGAATTGTATAAAGTACATTGTTGTTAGGTAAAACAGGTCTTTAACCCTACTGCACCTTTCATACTATTATCTAAGAAAAATACTTCAAATGTTATTCTTCACCACAAAAGAGTTCTTTTATTTTTAAAATAGAAAAATTACAGACAGGGTTTATAAATCAGTGAAAGTACAACAAAACTGCTTAGATTTTTAAAAGTTCTTTATTGTTTAAAGTTTTATGTAAGTCTCCTTTTCTCCCATTGACCTCTTCTTGGCTGCCCCCACCCCCCAGCACATGCCCTCACTCCCCTACTCTCTGTGTTCATTGGTTGTGCTCATATGCATGCATATAAATCCTTTGGTTGATCTCTTACCCCTCACCCCCAACCTTCCCTCATAGGTTGGACAATCTGTTCAATGCTTCTATGACTCTGGTTCTATTTTTGTTCATCAGTTTATGTTGTTCATTATATTCCACAAATGAGAGGAAGATACTTATATTTCTCTGAGTGGCTTTCACTTAGCATAATGCTCTCCAGTTCCATCCATGTTGTTGCAAATGGTAAGAATTCCTTTTTTTAAGCCGCATACTATTCCATTATGTAGATGTACCACAGGTTTTAATCCACTCACCTGCTGATGGGGACTTAGGCTGTTACCAAATCTTAGTTATTGTAAATTGTGCTGCTATGAATATAAGGTGCATATATCCTCTCTAATTGGTGTTTCTGTTTTCTTGGGATATATTCCTAGAAGTGGGATTACTGGGTCAAATGAAAGCTCCATTTTTAATTTTTTGAGGAAATGCTATACTGTTTTCCACAGTGGCTTCACTAGTCTGCATTCACACCAGCAGTGCATGAGGGTTCCTATTTATCTGCATTCTCTCCAGCACTTGTCTTTTGTTGATGATAACTATTCTGACAGGTGTGAGATGGTACCTCATTGTTGTTTTGATTTGCATTTCTCGGATGATTAGTGACTTTGAGCATTTTTTCATATGTCTCTTGGCCTTTTGAATGTCCTCTTTCAAAAAGTATCTATATAAGTCCTTTGCCCATTTTTTGATTGGATTGTTTATCTTCCTTTTGTTAAATTGTATGAGTTCCCTATAAATTTTGGAGATTAAACTCATATAGGAGATAACATTGGCAAATATGTTCTCCCATGCAGTGGGCTTTCTTGTTGTTTTGTTGATGGTTTCTTTTACTGTGCAGAAACTTTTTATTTTGATGTAGTCCTATTTGTTTATTTTTTCCTTAGTTTCCATTGCCCTAGGAGCTGTATCGATAAAGATATTGCTATGACAAATGTCTGCTATTTTGCTGCCTATAGCTTCTTCTAATATTTTTATGGTTTTTCCATCTTACGTTTCAGTCCTTTATCCATTTTGAGTTTATTTTTGTGGATGGTATAAGTTGGTGGTCTAGTTTCATTTTTTTGCATGTATCTGTTGAATTTTCCCAGCACCATTTATTGAAGAGACTGTCTGACTCCATTGTATGCTCTTGCCTCTTTAGTCAAATATTAATTGAGCATAATGGCTTGGGTTGATTTCTGGGTTTTCTGTTCTGTTCCATTGGTCTGTGTATCTGCTCTTGTGCCAGAACCATTCAGTTTTGAAAACAGTGGCTTTGTAGTATAGCTGGTATTGTAATCCCTTGATTAGAAAGAATGTCAGTTCTTCTGCTTCCATTATACATCTGAATTTATGTTCTTACAATAGAAAGAGGTGGGATCAAAAGTCCTATTAGGTGTTGCATTAGCCCAAAATAAATTGGAAAAAAATTCTTGTAGTTGCCATGAAGGAACCAATGAACATTTTCTAGTATGATTGCACAGAATGAGAAAATAGACCCTAACCTGTGGTTAGGCAGCACTACTGCTTTCTAATCACAGTCCAATCACTGAGGTGCACACCTGAAATTAATAAAATAAT